GGCTAATCTTTCTCTCGTTTGTGATCTTAGCAACTTAAGCTTTATCTAAATATCAATTGGCTAATTTTTCAAAACCTTGTTTAAAAACGTTTTATAGAGTCTTTTTGATTTAACAAAAAGAGGGAGAATAAAGTAAGGGGGAGTAATTTTTCAAAATTGATATCAAAAATGATTTTCAAAGAAAATCTTAAAATTACTTAAATATTTTGTTATATCAAAAAGGGGAAGATTGTTGAAAACATTTTGATGTTTCGATATAACAAATTAAGTGTTATTGAATTTTAAGATTTTATAATCATTTTTAAAGTAAATTCGATTAAGTTATTCGAATATCACAAATATTACTCCAAGTTTTTCAAAGGTCACTAAAGTGTAAAATTGTGTTTTAAACTTAAAATATTTTTTAAACAATTTTTACAAAGTAATTCGAACCAAGATGAGCCAAAATTCAATTTTATGAAGAGATATACCGATGCACTATTTGATGTATCGATGCACAAAATATTTCAAATGCATTTTGTGTACCGATGCACAGACATGCATAGATGCACTCTTAATTTTATTGAAACATCGAATGCATTTTATGTATCGATGCACATACCATGCATCGATGCACATACCATGCATCGATGCACTCCTGGCTCTTTTGAAACATCGAATGTAATTAGTGTACCGATGGACCCCAAGTGTACTGATGCACTAAGTCAACTAACGATCGAAATATTTGAATTTTACACATAGTGTGCCGATACACCCTTGAAGTGCACTGATGCACTTACGCTCCCAACCAGATTTACTTACGCTCCCAACTAGATTTTTAAATGATAATTACACAATAACGGCTCTATTAACTTCACCAATGATCCCCAACTTTCAGAAGCGATACAAGGTGTATTTAAACAAGCCGAGGAGCCATTGATCAACAACAAGAAACAACAATTATGAGAGAAACAAAGAGAAAGCCTTAAACATCAAGTTTGAGCAATTCAAGCCAATTTTAATTCAATATTCATTTTTTCTTTCAAGAACACTACTTGTACTCAATTGTATTCATTCTTGAGTTTTCTTTCTTTGTTCTAGAATTGTGCAAACATTTTACCTTGTGAGGTTTTTCTATAAGTTTACAAATTTGTGTATTTCTCTTTGGGAGAGAGTATTCTCAAGAATTTGGGGTATAATTCTTGAGGGAGTTGTAAGGTTACTCTTTGTCCTCAAAAGAAAGAACAAATTATTGAATTTGTTGGAAAATCCTTAGTGTGGATAGCTAAGGTAGTGGACGTAAACTTTGGTTGAGAAAGTCGAACCACTCTAAATTACTGTGCAAATATTTTCAATTTTCTACAAAAGCTTCCACCAAATTTTTTATTGTCAATTCACCCCCCTCTTGGCCGATTCGTCAATCGATTAACTCAACACTTTCAATATAGTCACTAACATGATATTTGGGGTATTACATTCCTGGAGTGGCAGAGGATCCCCACACGCACTGTCGGTACGTGGTGGTGCGAACAACGATGATAGAGGTCGTTTTGGATTGTCGTTCACTCCCGGTTCATCTACACACTTGATTTAGTCATTATCAACCCAAAATCACAGTAAAGATACTCCAAATCTCACCAAAAATAAATCGAGAACTCACCCCAATCGACGATCAATGAAAACGACGATAACAAGGTGACCTGTCGATTGGGTTTTTAGCCTATGAAAAAGGGGACTGGTTTTCTAACGAGTTTACAAATACTTTCCACAACGGATGGTGACGGTTCATCGATGGTGGTCTATAGGGATTTGATCGGACAGTGACAATGCGTCAATTGGTGTGAGCGATGTCACCGATGGACGGTGGCGGAGATCGGCCACAAAGAGACTCGAACTGTCTTCTTGTGTTTTAGGCACAACGACAACTAGTTTTTTTAGTGGTTCACCAGTCGAGGATTAGTCGCGGTTGCTGCTGAGACCAACGACGGAGGCGATGCACTCCACCGTCGGTTAGAGGCAGTTGATCGACGGGGAAAAAAAGGGTGGTGTGAAAGGTTTAGTTCAGGTAGGTGTTTAGGTTTAAAATTTTGGTTCGCCAAATCGGGGAGGGGGTAAGTGATCTGAACCAATGTAATCACTCCCCACAACTATTGTAGAAAGTTTTATTATTTTATTACCTAAATAGTGCCTTAGCCTTGTGGCTAGGTCATGTCTCTCCATTATTTATGGCCTGGGTTTGAAACCCACCGACCACATTATTCATTTCATTCATTTTTAAGCTGACAAGAGATGGATAATTCAAGGGTTGGGTCCCTCAGCTATCATCAAGCTTGCACAACAACCATCATACTTCAAAAATCAATCATTTTAGTCTTCAACTTTTCTTTTATCACGACTTTAATTTAATACTTTATATTAATAAAATTTAGCCCCTAAATCGGGGTATGACACAAGGTTAATTATTTAGGTAAACTACACATTTAGTATTCCAACTATTAACTATGTTCTGTTTTGGTCACCCAACTGTTTTTGTTTTAAAATCACACTTAATGTTATACTTTTATTTTATTTTGGTCACCCACCAATAAAAAATTAACGATAATGCTGACGTTTGACCATGCGGTAATACCACATCATCATTAAAGATTTTTAAAAAATATTAAATCAGTACTTTTGTTACCTTTTAAACAGTGGGTGACCAGAATAAAAATAAATATAAGTTAAATATGATTTTAAAAAAATAATAGTTAAATGATTAGAATAAAAGAAAAATAATAATTGAAATACTAAATGTAGTTTACACTAATTATTTTCATGATAAATTAATGCATTGCGGTACGCTAAGCGTGTGATTAGGGTGGATGAATATTATAAAATTTGAGCTGTACTTGTGGGGCCCAACCAACTGTGTTCCTCAATTCCAGCTCTCCACAACTTGTGCCAATCTTTTTCCCAACACTCCAATGCCCCCACGTGAATTTTATTTCCCAATTTACCCTTCCTATTTTTCATCCTTTTAGGTCATTACAACAACAACAAAATCTTATTCTCATATACAAATGAATAAGGGTAGGTAAGGTAGTAGGCTGCCCCAACGCCAGGTTGAAAGCAGCTTCCGTGGAAGACCTCCGGCAGTCAGAAAATTAAAAATAAAGATAGAATGCAATGCATGTATAGTTAAATAAATAAATACATAGTTGAACAGTATTAATAATACAGTCTTCAATATATGCGTCTGTAAATAGAAAGTAATCCCTACAAATAAATCTCTGCATAAGAATCTTTGTAATAATGTGGTTTTTAATGTGGTTTTTAAAAATATATGTTTTTTATGAAAAGGAAATCCGAGATTTATAAGGAAAACAACATTTTATTTTATCACTAATACTATTTAATAGATTCAAAGTTAACTTAATATTTAAAATTAAATAATTAGTGGATTATTTATTTACTTATCACATTCAACATTTTTTTTATTTTATTAAAATAATATAATTATCTATCATAATTAAAATTAAATGCAAATGAAATGAATTTTTTAATATTTTATAATTTTATTAAACATACCCTTAAGGGGCGTTTGGTTCGCAAAAAAATCATTACCAAAAGAAATAATCTTTTTCAGAATTACATTGACATGTTTGATTCACAGAAAATGTCATTATCTTATAATAACTTATTACCAATAGTAATAGTTTTTTTGTTAAAATGGTGAGAATATCATTACCTCTAAATTGTTAGGTATTATTAGGGATGGTAAAAAAACCTGAACCCGACGGGGAAAACCGAAAACCGAATTAAACGGGTCGGGTTCGAGGATGATAAACGGGGACGGGGACGGGGACGGAGAAAACCTATTTATTTTAAACGGGGACGGGGACGGGGACGAGGACGAGTTTGGTAATCCCCGCCCCGATTACCCGCCCCGATACCCGAACCGATAAATATTAAAAATAATTATTTATATATATATAATATTAATAAATTTAATTTAAATAAAAAATATATATTTAATTTAAATATATATATATACCCGGCCCGATTCCCAGCCCAATACCGACCCAATACCCGACCCAATACCTGGCCCAATACCCGTTTAAATAATCGTTTGTGCTAAACGGGGATACCCGTTTCCCCGCGGTTTTCCCCGATTACCCGACGGGGATCCCCGTTTAAATCCCCGCGGTTTTTTAAACGGGGACTGGTACCGATTTTTTAAACGGGAACGGGGACGGGGGGACCAATACCCGGCCCAAACCCGACCCGTTGCTATCCCTAGGTATTATACAATTCTCATCACTTTAAAAAAGAATATTTCTGAAATAATGAATTTTTTTTCATATGTATCATTTTCAATTCTATTATTCGTGGTTTACTAAATCTTAAACATAATAATAACATACAAAAAAATTTGATTTAGTAAAATATTAATAAATTTGAATAGTTAAAATATTTTATATTTAATAAAATTTATAAATTTATGATTTAATTATAAATATAAAATTATTAAATCATTTATATGTTTAAAATTTTTATGTCCCATCATATCAATTTATTAAATAAAAATTATTTTAATTTTTTATATATTTTTATACACAATATGAAGTTATTGTAAATTTATTTATTTTAAATAATTTTTATATATTTTTATTATAATTTAAATTGATATATTTATATATGATAATTTTTAAAATTTAAATATTATTTTCATATATATTTTTAAAAATGATAATTTATTTTATCAAAATCATTTTTTACATTAATATTAAATTTCAAATTAAATAATTTAAAAATATTTTTCACCATAATTAATGATAAATTAGCTTATGGTGAATATATATTTTTTGGAATAAAATAATAATAGAATGGTGAATATTCATAGAAAGAGAAGTGGATGCCGCCTTCTCTATCCTTGCAAATCCCTTTCTTTTTTACAGTGAAGGACTGACAGTTACCATAGCAGTATAGCACAATAGGAGGGGGGGGGGGACGCATGCTTTGTTTAGTGTCACCTCAACCCTTCCTACTTGTGTCCTTCCTTCAAGCCACCTTAAAAGCTTGGAAACCCCCACTTTCTCTTCTTCCTTGCCTCATATTTCTCTTCAAGTTTCTTCTTTCTTTGCAAAAATCTTACTCTCTTATTCCCTCAAATCTTCCATATTTTTTGAAATTACCATCAATCTAAATCTACCATTTCGTCCAACCCTTTCAAGGATAAAAGATAGTAAAAGCAATTTTTCTTTAACTAGACTTAGCTCTAGTTTCTTCACTGACCCTTGATTTCCCTTTGTCTGAGTTTCTCTTCTTTTGTTTTTTTAAGCTTTAAATTCACACTTCTTGCTCTCCCTTTAAAGCAAGAACTAAACTTTTCCCATATGTTTGGCCTTGTTTTTCTTCATGAAGTCTTAAATTTTCTTGTCTTGTAACTTGTTTGGACATAGTTGTTTGATCAAAATCCCCCCCTTTTTTTTACTCTTTACACTTCATTTTAGCACAAAGTTTCAATTTTTGTGGGGAACGAGAAAAATGGATCCTATGGTTTCACAGTTTTTAGTTGTTCTAACATTTATCTCTCTTGTTCTTTTTCAAACCATCCAAGCTTTGGGTTATTTTGCAACAATACCTATGAATTGTACGGATACATCAAGATTATGCACATCTTTCTTGGCTTTTAAGCCACAGGAGAACCAAACTATGGCGGTGATCCAGAGCATGTTCGATGTGCTACCACAAGACATAACAGCTGAAGGAGAGGGCACCCATGGTTACATATTCATCAAGAAGAACTGTTCTTGCTTGACAAGCCCCAGGAATTATGCAACAAACACAACCTTTACCGTGAGATCAAATCAAGGGTATGTTTATGACATGGTTTTAGAGGCTTATGATGGCCTTGCAATGGTTCCAAATGTTAGCAGGCCAGCAAGGATTGGAGCTGTGGTGTCTTTGAGGCTGTTTTGTGGGTGTTCAAGTGGGCTGTGGAACTACTTGATGAGTTATGTGATGAAAGATGAGGACAGTGTGCAATCTTTAGCTAGTAGATTTGGAGTTAGTATGGATAGTATTGAGCAAGTTAATGGGATTCAAAATCCAGATAATATCACTGTCGGTGCTTTGTACTATATTCCATTGAATTCAGGTTTGCCCCCAAAACCATCTCTTTCTTTGTGGGGTTTTTAGATTTAGGGATTTGCATGAAGGATGCTATTTGTTTGGAGATATGCATTTTCAATTGCTTTTTTAAGAGATGGATGTTTATGATTTTGATGATATTTTTAGTTTCTGAAAATTCTGTAAGTTATTAGAATACGGGGTTTAATTCAGTTAGTAAAATAAGATCTTTTGTCCATTGTTTATGATAGTCTAAAGCTAGGTATGCTAAAGATCTAAATCTTGCTATCAGTTCTGCTTTGGATTTTGTGATTGAAAGTTTAGCATTGGGGATAAGGTTTTGTCGTTCGACTAATTGGGAGTATGTCGAAAATGAAGTTTGGGATACTGATAAGATAATTTGATACTAATTGGTGAATTCAGTTCACTTTTAGAGCCTGGAACCTACTTTGTTTCTATTAGAAGTCATCATGTGAACTTTGAGGGAAGGTGCTAATGTCACGTTTATATATACAAACAAAATTGGACTAATGAAATCAGTAATATGGTCATACATAATCTAATCGTGTATTTATGACTAGAATTAATGAGTAACTTTGTTTTATCATCCATTTCCTTAAATTGTAAGGCTATTAGTTGGTGATTTTGCATTATGCCTTTTGTGTTGTTTGCAACTCAAGATGCATATCGCCATTCTCTTGTTAATTTTGTTGGATTCACATGCTGGTCAGTTCCTGTATTATAGCAGAAAGTCTTAGACCATAGCTTGTTATATATATTGCAGTTCCTGGTGAACCATATCATGTGGAGAATGACATTCCCCCTGCACCTGTTCCTGCACCATCAGCTGATGCACTTTCAGGTATGAATTGGTACATATAAGTGAAATAATTAAAACTATGATATCTTGGACTCGGGTGAGCGATATGTGTCCAACATGGATTTGCTCAACTTTTTTCTATGTTTCTTCATGTATTTAGATGATCCTCAGAGGCTCTTATACCCACCACACCTATGTCCGAGTCTGCATCTAAGTGATGTAAAAAAGTAGTTGAGAACCGTACATAAACACATGATTTTCTGTATACTGTATGTGAAAATAAAAACTGCAAGTTTTGCGTTACAAATTGTTGATTCGGGCTCTATTTAAACTTTAAAGTGTTAATGCTTCTCTTTTCTGTAAAAAGTTTGACAGTTCTGTTTTGGGGTTATAATGTTAAGTTTCTTTTGTTCAATTTCCTGAATTATGGCAATGTCTGGTAAACACTCCTCTGTGAGAGGAATAACAGTTTTTTTCTTGATTTTCTGTACTAAATTTTTAGTTTTTATGCAGAAGTTCAAGTAAGGCCTAAGGCTCATGTGCCATATGGATGGATCATTGGGGGTTTGGGTGTTGGCCTTGCCTTCATCATATTAAGCATAGTAGTTTGTGTTTCCTTGAGATCCTTGAACTTTTTTGGTGAAACTCAAGGAGATCATGCAAAAGATCGTGATGTCAAGAGTTCTCACAAGTTTCACATTCTTCGGAAGACAAGTTTCTGTTGTGGTTCAGGAAGATACATTGGCGGCAAGTCTGAGAATAGGAACCAAACCAACAGTGAACCTAGTAACCACCAGATTACTATCCCGAAAGGTTATTACGCTGTGATTTCTTAGTTACTGTCAGTTCTATTTGTTGCTATCTGAAATCCCGACAAGGAACTGTATATAATACTAAAATAAGTAGACTAATTAATCAAAACAATGATAGCAAAATTTATAACCTAGACATAACATCCAATCTTATATTTTACTCGATTTGGTTCATAACTTTAGAGTTGTTTTTTTATGACAACTCTCCTTGCCGCCTTGACAAATCCGAAACTCTGGAAGTCTAACTTTGTTTTTTTTTTTGTCTTCTCTGTCAGCTCTAGGAACTGATGTACTTGATGTTGAAAAGCCTGTGGTTTTCACTTATGAAGAGATTCTTTTTTCGACTGATGGGTTCTCGGATTCTAATCTTCTTGGACATGGAACCTATGGTTCTGTGTATTTCGGTTTTCTACATGACCAGGTTTGTTCGATTCTATTTGGGATTTAGATTACATGACCTGAATAGATTAACATTCCATTAAGTTTTTGTTTATTTGGTTCTTTTAGGAAGTTGCTATCAAAAGAATGACAGCCACAAAGACAAAGGAATTTATGGCCGAGATGAAAGTCTTGTGCAAGGTTCATCATGCAAATCTGGTAATGATTTCTGTATGATAAACAGTTGTTTAAATTCCGAAATTATGACGCTTTCTTCCACTCATTCAAAGCCCATTGACTCCTGTTTCGGTTTAATTTTGTTGAAGGTAGAGTTGATTGGCTATGCTACAAGTGATAATGAGCTCTTCCTTGTTTATGAATATGCTCAAAAGGGTTCCCTTAGAAACCATTTACACGATCCCCAGAACAAAGGTAGGATTATAACAGTGCTTCTTCAGTTATAATTTATTTAATTTTTTAAGAATGAAGGATCATGACTTTACCAGGTTGAATGTTTTATCTCTGTAAATTTCAGCAATTATGTGCATTATGGTTATAAAACCGGACAGCTAGTAGTGTTAAAATAGATCGAATCTTATAAAGGTGCCAGATCATTCATAACCATAATGTGTTTATCATGCTGATAAAAAATGCCTATGACAAGTCTCCATAGTGAGGGGAAGCTATTTTCATTAGCCCGATGTCCCAGCCTGTGTCGAATAGGATGACTAGCATATATTTTGAGTCTTTCAGGGCCTACTGGCTCATTCACTCAGTTTTATCAGCACTTTCATGAGTAGGGTTACTAGGGTACGACCATACATCGTTGTTTTTCTTGATTGCTTGCTTACGGATGAGTCTAATTGAGTATCTTAAGCTAAATGCTAGATTTATGATGTTGAAGAACTATAAAAGTTTAGGTTCTTGATTGGCTAGACCAGAGGCCTAAATGCCTCTTGGGGCTCGCATATTAATAGGCACCGAGTTAGTAAGATTTTGGTGTTGTATAATAATTTTATGTAGCTTGTTCTTTTTTAAAATGTTTGCATGCAATTCTATGAGGTGCGTGCTCTGGATGTATTGTCTTTGTTGAGTTGCAAAATTCTTATTCTAATTACGCTGCAAATGTTTACTGGCTTGAAGGTCCTACACCACTTTCGTGGATAATGAGGGTTCAGATTGCACTCGATGCTGCTAGAGGTCTGGAGTACATCCATGAGCATACTAAAACTCATTATGTTCATCGAGATATCAAGTCGAGCAACATTCTGCTTGATGGTTCTTTCAGGGCGAAGGTTCTAATTATGTTGAAGTGTTGCTGTTTTTTTCCGATTTAAGTGTGCTTGAGAAATTTGACCAACTTCTGTTCTCGGATTAGATTTCAGATTTTGGATTGTCAAAGCTTGTTGGAAAAACAAATGATGAAGAAGCAACAGCAACAAAAGTTGTCGGTACATTTGGTTATTTGGCACCAGAGTAAGTAATGATATTGCTCCATGTTGATCTGCGTCTTCAGTTTTCTTGAAATACTCAGTGTTCAATACTTGTTTTGGACACATTGAGATAAAAGAGTACGGGGGTATGACCTTCAAGGGACCCTCCAAATATATGAAAAAAGATTGTCATATCCGGATTGAGTAATACGGATATTTTTAGTTGGCTACTGTCTCTCGCTAAATGTTCTTTTAAACTCTGAAGTCTGAACTGTTCCATTTTGTTTTCTTATAGATATTTGAGTGATGGACTTGCATCGTCGAAAAGCGACGTGTATGCATTTGGTGTTGTTCTGTTTGAGATTATATCCGGAAAGGAGGCCATCATACGTACTGAAGGCACCACGACAAAAAACACTGAAAGACGTTCATTGGCATCTATTGTGAGTTCCATTGTAGCACATTCTAACATACATCATTCCAAGACAAACAAAATCTTCTGTGAGAAACATCTTTCGGAAACTATCTTTTAATATAAAATTCAAAATTACTTTAGTTTTGCATGGTTCTGCAGCTGAAATTTTGGATCTCCCATGGATTAACTTGAGCGTCTAAAGTCGTGTGAAATTTAAAATGTTTGAGTTGGAAACCGATAAAAGAATCTAAAGAAATAACCTCTCTTTTTCTTTGTTTCCGAAGCATGTCATTTTAGATGTTCATCTTATCTTGTACTTGTGCTTGTATATTGCAATTTTGCAGGTGTTAACAGCTCTCCGGAGCACACCGGACTCAATGAGCATGTCGAACATGAAGGACTATATCGATCCGAATATGCTGGATCTTTATCCTCATGATTGTGTCTTCAAGGTAAATATCCGGTCTATCTATTTCGATTTGATGAAAGCATTATCAAATTTGTGGCCTAATGAGAATTCTCGATCTGGAGTTCATCATTGATATAATTTCCGTAGTGACATTCTGAAAGCTAGAAAATTCTCATATCAGTGTTCTGATCGGTATGATTTGGTTATTAGATGGCCATGCTGGCAAAGCAATGTGTGGACGAGGATCCTATTGTACGACCAGACATGAAACAAGTCGTGATTAACTTGTCACAGATCCTTTTGTCGTCGGTCGAGTGGGAAGCAACGCTTGCCGGGAACAGTCAAGTATTTAGTGGTTTGGTCCAAGGAAGATAGCTATAGACCAGAGGCAACCTTTAATTTTTCATACTGTGTGTTTAATGATATTCCGGGGGAGAAAAAAACAGTAATATGTCTGCATTCCTTTATTTCTTGTTAGATATGATGCTATTAGATTCTTTGAATACTTTGTTTATGTAAACATGCCATTAACAAGAATTTTGTGTTCTTGTTTGCATTTCAATTTTTATGATTGGTTTTAATATAAAATAAAAGACAAAATTGTACGACTGAAAAGGATATTGAATTGAACATTAAAATACTCAATTCGACAACACTCGAATTTCGTTTGCTTGATAATGAAGATTATGTAGGAAAAATAGTATGTTTAAGATTAGTTCTTTTAAGGAAGCAGATAAAGAACATCCCATGTCTCCACTGATGATCCAAAAAACAAATATATATGTTAGGAATACAATGGGCCAATCTTTGATTTATTTGGTTTGACTTACACAAATAACTCATCAAAAATGTTCTAAATAGCTTCCACCGTTCATTTTATGAATCACTCAGAAAAGTCATCTTCACCTCCACTGTACTGATCGATGTCTTGATGTCGTGAAAGCTTCCGAGGTCTTCCAAGCCCATCTTCGGCATCCAACCTTCCTAGCTTCAAGCTTGAAATACCATCCCTCATGTTGGAATAAACCTGTGCATACCAGGAGAAAAAAGATGAATAATATATGAGAATTAGTTTTCACTAGTGGTGCAAACTCCTCTATTTTCATGTCCAACACCCATATAAGCAAAAGCATATTTGGACATAAGTACAGGAGGATATGATACTCCAATGACCTTCCAAATATATGAAAAAACTTTAAAAGTTTGAACATGCCCGTCTCCAACATTACAACTGAATCTGGGTAACAAAATTTATGATCATACCTCTGGCTCTTTCAGTTCTATTGCAGCAACTGTTGATCTCCTCCTTGCAGTAATTCTAGAAGGTATTGGAAAATGTTCAATCTCATCGCCAGATCTTCCTTCTCTGGCCCTTTTTTTTCTTAAATTAAGCTTTGTCGGAAGAGGCTGCAACATGAGAGAGTGTTACCATCATGTACTAATCAAACAATTTCCACCAAAACATATTGAAAAAGATGTAAATTTGGCTCAAATGTATACCACATAGCGAGCTTCTCCCTCATCGAATGAAACAAGGAATGTTGTTGGGTCATTTGCATCATCACCCCGTACCTGTAAAAGGATCAGAAAGAAATCTTAAGCATTTAGAGTTAGCTCCAGCTTGTGCTGTCACAATATGAAAATCAGGTTACATACATCCCAATGGTATTCGCGAACCCAAGAATATGACATATCTTCGTCCTCATCATACATGTCCTTTGATAGCTGGCATCATTAAAGTGAAAATTGAATCAAAATTCACTTAGAATCAACATATTGAAAGTTAGGTACAACAAAAACTGCAGTGCTGATGGATATATAATATATTGAATCCAAGGAATATCTACCTCACCAACGGAAGGCACCATGTATGCCAAAAATTTCTCGGGATTTGCCAGATCTGAGCTTGGTGCCACATAACTTTTCATAATGGCCTGAGTTGCAAAATACAGACACAGACCAAAAATAAAAATCGAGACCCATACCAGATGAAATAAATATATGCATCAGTACCCATTATATCCCTCTGGCCATGGGTAAATTTATACAAATTTTTTCTTTTAATTTGCCAACAATACCATAAAATTAAAGTAATTGCCTAAAATAACATAGCATAGTTGACTATGATCATCTATTGACTAAAAGCCACAGCAACACTATCTACTATTTGTGGAAGACTCATTGATAATATCAGTGCCTAGACACGCATGCCAATTAATATCGGGAAATAAAACAGCACTAAGCATGAAAGATGCACTTAAAAATAACAGATCCCAAAGAAATCGTCGAGCCAGAAAAACACATTCCACAAACATTCTATGCACATATCACATTCTATGCACTAAGCACTTCATTTTGATCACGTTTGCTACAACTAAACTTGCAGATCAGAGGATACTACTGACCAAAAAAGCCAAGATATCAATAAATTATGGTAATGCAATTTTTTATACATTTGCGTCATTTCATTTTGTTTTTGTTGGAAAGAGGAGGAAGGGTAGGTTGTACAAGCCTTGAACCCCGACCTTTGGTGCCAATTTACAACAATCTTGCTACTACAACTGTGGCTCCATTGGAAACTATAGTAATTTATGTTGCAAGTTAATCTCAAGATATTAACTAATTTTATAAGCGCATTACAAAATCTAGAAAGTTCTTAACTCACCCTTGATTCATGCTCATCACGAACAGAGCCATGCAACTTGCTGAAGATTTCTGAGTCAGCTGTAGGAGCACCATCAAATGCCACCATAACGAACTGATCATCATACCTGTTACAATTACATCAAAGACATCATATATAGGTATGCTGTAACACAGCACAATGACTAATGATTGAAATCTCTAAGTTTTATAATCTAATCAACCATGTTTTCTAAACGTATAAGAGACTAAAAGGGAAAGTAAAAACAAAGCAGACAGCCCTAACTAATTCCTTACCTATCAAAATCAGGTAAGAGAGGCATAACTTCAACGGGCTCTAAGTTTTTATTGGTTGCATGAACAGGACGTAACTTGGATGCCTCGAATGATGCCTCAATTTCTTTTATTTGTCTTTCCCTGATAAAATTGTCAACATCTTTAGTGGAAGTACACTTTTTTTTGTGTGTGGCAGATCTGCTTCAAATAAGAATTTATCTTTAGGAAGGGAGGTTGAATAAAACAAACCTATTGTTAAGGTTCTCCAAAAGATTGCGGCCTCCCTTAAGTTCTCGAAGTTCTTTAGCTTGCTTTTCAGTCAAGGACTGCAATCGCCAATGTATTTAGTTTTCACACAGCTTCCAAAAATCATCACAGAAAACACAAAATATGAACACAGTAGTTAGCAATTACCTGTTTAGTTGATTCCACACTAAGTGATGAAATGTACTGTGTTTTAACAAGCCAAGAAACACCTTTGTCAGTGGGTCTTTCTTTTCGTCTTATGCCATCTTTCTTAACAGGGGTTAAAGTTACATCATCATGCAAGAGTTCCTCATCTTCTGGGGCAAGAGGTGGCCTAATACTAGGAGGACTAGTTAAACAAAGATAAATAGATAATCAAAACCAAAGCACCAAAAAGCAAAGGTATATGAAAAAGTTTTAAGTGACTACAGTATGATACTTGTATACACTGAGGTCAAGCAAATCAAGTGGTATCCCAAGATCTGGCTCAACAAAAAGCTTGGGCTTGTACATTTTCTCCAGAGAAGTGATAGTGTACTTTGTAAACCTGTAAGAAAGATGTATAATATTTTTTCTCCACAGAGAACAACTAGCAAGAGATATAACTTCACTAATAACAAAATCAAAAGAAACAGGGTAAATACATTCAATCAGAGGGCCAAAAAAATATTGGATCCTGGAGTTCTAAAAATAGAAAATACAGCATCTTTCTTTGAAGCAAAAGGCCAGTTCTTACCTATCTTTATCATTCTTCACGGCCATAAGTTTAGGCTGTGCACTTGGATCAGGAAGTTCGTTTCGGAATCTATACAATATAAATGGTTGTCAATATCGGAAGTAAATAGTATAAATATTCTTCAGAGTTAAATAGTCAAACAAGTAACAAAAAGGAACACTTTCCAACATGAAAAAGAATGTCATATGGGAAAATAAGAAGGAAATTGCATGCAGAAAATAATGATCAAGTACAGTGCTCAGCCAAAAAGTATTATCATACATAGACATGCAAGGAGAGGTGAAAAAACATATTTGAGCAAAAAAATAATTTAAATGCCATTGTTCACTAAACTACTTTAGATACAATATGTATAGATTCTACAACACGAAGGGGAAAGTATTGATATTCTTCAAGTTAACTATTGTCCATCAGCCTACTTAAGCCAATGCAAATATCAGAGCCCTGTCAAACACTAATTATTCTATCGAATTCCATCATAAGTCAACCAGGGATATTTTCATGCCAGCATAAATATTGAAAGCTGGACAAAAGATGCCATCAATAAACTTAAACTAGATAAAACTCATTATGGCAAGATAATAAACGTGAAATTTAAAAAGCTTAATAGTATATTTGATATCATAATCATGAAATTTATAAGTTTAATTTCTAATTCAATGTAGCCTAAGAACAAAACAAAATAGTAAACAAGGAGGAAAAAAAATAATGCCATATACTAACTTCAACTTGCATAAGAACGTAGTTGGCTTCTTTAATCTATTCTCAATCCTCTCACCGCTCAAAAACGGTGTAGCTCTCCTATCTCCCATCCGTGAGCCTATCATCGAACAATGCCCTTTGGCGGAAGATATCATTTGGGCCTTCTGGGACTCCTTCACCTGCTGTCTATGTTTCTCCTCTTGCCTTTGCTTCTCAAACTCCCTCTTCTTCCCCAACCTTCTTTCTTCCTCCGTCTCCACCCTTCGTGCAGGTGCATTTGGCTTCTTTGAAGGAGGCAAAGTTGGCTTGTGCTCTCTACTTCCAATCCCGTTATCAGAATGACCATGTTCACGCCTACCAGAACCCGAATAATCCCTATTCCCCCCTTTACTGCGCTCACTTAACCTCTTGTCCCCAGCACTCTCCTTGGGAGGAGGCTGTAGTGGAGGAGAACTTGGAGGAGGTAGTGGAGGAGAACTTGGAGGAGGTGGTGGAGGGATTGAAGAACCTGGAGAACTTGGGGGAGGTGGCGGAGGAGGTGGCTGCATTGCTGGATTGCTATACTGTGAAGAGTACTGTGAAGGTGGATAATACATCGGTGGCTGTGAGTTGAAGGTATTTTGAGGCAAAGAAGGGGGTGGGGGAGGTGGATAGGAAGAATCTGGAGGTGGAGGAGGCGGAGGGGGATATGTATACTGCTTCTGTGGAGGCGGAGGTGGTGGCAGTGGCTGCTGCTGTTGTGGTGGCGGTCTTGAAGGAGGGTAATGGTAATTCGATTTCAGATTCATTTGACTGTAATTTTGATCATAATGTTGTTGGGGTGGAAGAGGGTTTTGATTTGGTGCTGGCGCTGGTGGTGGTGGTGGATGAGGAAAGGATTGTGGAGGAAATGGCCTATAAGAGGCCATTGTTTTTCTTTTATATTATATATATTCCCTTGATTACAATATCAAACTCAGAGACAAATCAATAAGAAACCCGAAGAAAAGGACAGTAATAGATGAAAGAAGAGATTTTGAATTATGGGTTCTCTGAGTTTTCTTGCAGTAATTGATCCAAATTGGAAAACCTTTGAATTGGGTAGCCACACGAATTTGAAATTTCCTATTTGTTTCAAGAAAAAAAAAACTACAGGAATAAATTCCCAAACCTTGAAATCCTAAATTCCTAATTTTCAAAATTCAGATGAAGTAGCTAAACCTAGCAAAATCAACCGCCAAAATTTTCAATTGAACCAAGTCGAAAAGAAAGCGTTAAAGGAGCTAAAGAGAGAAGAGATTTGAACTCCGATCTCCATAAACCCTAAGAAAGAGATAAAGGGCGAAAAGGAATCTGACCTGTAAATACTTGGACGTAAAAACACAGCTTCAACCAAATATATTAATAAGAAAAAATAACCAATTAAAAATCCCAACTAATTCACGTATATTTATTTACAGCTTTAAGAGAACACGGAAAAGTATGAGTTGAGACGGGGAAAAGCTTGCCGGAACAATGAGGGAAGAAGAGTATGCTCTTTAATTTCGGTACCTGGATTTGGCACCTTGGTTTTTTCTATTTAACTCAATGGGTAGGCATGTAACTGATAGTGAATTGTTTGATAGTTTTTTCTATTTATTAAATGAATGAATATAAATAAAATTTTGTGTTCGTTTAATTAAATGAACCAATATGGATATAGAACTCATTCGTTTATTTATATTCGTGAGCTTTCAGTCATTCGTTATGCAGTCATTCATTTTCGTCTGGAGTTTTTATAATACATAGTGTTGAAAACATTTTTTTTTCCGAAAATATATATAATATATAGTCTTAAAACTATATATAATATATAGCTTTAAAAACATTTTTGAAAACATATATATAATATAAAGTTTTGAAAACATTTTTAAAAATATATAATATATAGTTTTAAAAACATTTTTCGAAAATATATATGATATATAGTTTTAAAACATTTTTGAAAATATATATAATATATAGTTTAGAAAACATGTTGGAAAATATATGTAATATATAGTTTTGAAAATATTTTTCGAAAATATATAATACATAGTTTTAAAACGTTTTTGAAAATATATATAATATATAGTTTAGAAAACATGTTGAAAAATATATATAATATATGGGTTTTGAAAATGTTTTTTTCGAAATATATATAATATTATTTTTAAAATATATTATAGTATACTTATTTTTTTTAGGTCCAATAAAATCCAATAGAGGTCTAGTAGCAAACCCGGTTAGGTGGGCCTCACCAAGCCCAAAATCCAAACTAGGGTTTTATACTTAGTGAGGGCGTCGCATGGGGGAGCGCGTGGGAACCACGTGCTGACAAGAGAACCAAACAACAATAAGGCCGAGATTTTCGGCACCGGAATTCGAAAAATCACAACACCCCAGGATTGAACCATCCCCAAAATCCTCGACCAGCGATGAATCATAACAATATGGGATGAAACCGATACATTTAACCCTGAGTAAATCGGAAAACAAGGGTAAACAACCCCCGAAATGAACGAATTGACCCTAGAAAACCACTCTGAGCCTGGCTATAAAAGCCCTTCCAAGTCGAACAAGCAAGATACGACGGAAACAACGAAAAACAACGAAGCATACAAAGCAAACAAGGAAAGCAAAGTAAAGCATTCGAAAAAAATCACAAAATATATTCGGCGTCGGAATCGAACGGAAGGAAGCACGGTGAGGAAACCTAAAGGTCGTCGGAAAAGCGAAGACTCTAGCCGAAAAGGTAAAAAAATCGAACATTTCTTTGTAGATCTACGCCGATTTGGTGCTTTGTTGAATAATCGGGCTACAGAATGATGTTTAGGAGGTTGAGAGGAGTATTTTAGGGAGGTTTGGTTTTTTCGACCGCCGCTCCACCGTAGGACGATCGACCATAGGCCGGTTGGGAGTGTGAAGAGAGGGGAGAGAGGGGAGAGATTTTTTAATGTGAGAAATGAATGATATTTTTGGGTTTTATGGGCTATTTATAGGGAGGGCCTTTGTGTAATTAGCAAAATTTTAAATTATTTTCGCAATCCACTCTAACTTTGATGTGTAATTCATTTTGGTCACCTATTTCAATTTTGCCTTTGAATTTTTAATTAATTCAATTTAATCCTTTATTATATTTCGCGGTTTAACCCCATAACTTTTGTTTTTTCTCTTGTAGCTCATTTTTAATATTAATTTAGTCCGTAAATTTCAATTTATTTTAATTTGTTCCTTTTTATTTGTTTGTTTTTTTAACTTTTTTAATTTCTTTTTTTTCAAAAAGTACTTTTTTCCCTTTAGCATTTGTCTTATATTTTTTTCTTTCTTTACTTTTTTTCTTTTTATTATTTGTTCTTTTTTAATATTTTAATTTTTTTTTCTTTCCTTGATTTCTTAATTTAACACTTTTTGTTCTTCTCCTTCATTTCCTTAATGTTTTATTTCACAATCTAACATTTTTTTAATTTCTTTTAGAAGTAATTTCAATAGATCAAAGGTAAGTAATTCGAGTCGAATCTTTTAAATTTTAATTATCGCAATTAAGACAACTGAGAAATTAAAATGGTACCGAAAGGACAGTTCAAGGGTGCTAATCATTCCTTGATTGTAACCGACTCTCGAATCTAACATATTTATGGTAAAATGTATATCAGGTAAGATGGTAAAATTACGGGTTCTGATCAACCAAATTTTAAAAAAAATAAATTATAGGTGGCAGCTCTAACGTGTTTTATTTAAGTCGAAGCCCAATTCCGGGCCCATCTGAAAGACAATTACGACAGCTTGACGACTCTGCTGGGGACAGGTAAGTGAGTCAGGCTAAAGTTAATTTTCGATTGTCTTTTTAAGTGAAAATTACAAGTTTAAATTTTAATTTATTTATTCGATTCTTATTATTTATCTTTGATTATTTTTCAAATAAATAGTTGTACTGACGTTTTTAGTGATTTCAGCTTTTTAAATTTTCATCTCAGGCTCTATACCCGAGCTCTAAACTCTTTTATAAGAGTAGGTGAAAGCAACGCCTTTGTGGGAATTTATTCTCCGTATAGGCCTAGCAAGTAACATTCGGGATTCATATACTTTATGTCTTCGTGTGAATTTATTCTCCGTATAGACATAAGGGAATGTGTCATCTCGAGTTTAATTTAGCCCACATAAGTTTGTAATGGGCTTAGGACTGAGGGTCTGGTAAGCCCAAGGGGGCACCAGCAAGGAGAACTCGGGTACCCTTCTTTAGAACCTAAACCGAGAGACTACAGGGGATTAGAGCCCACCCCGAAACTCCATTTCAAAACCTAGGATGTTTGAATTATTTCCTGTTTTACTTTCTATTCAAGGCATGTGAACTAGAAAATATACGGTTAGGATTTGCTCAAAAATTAGCATGCGGGGTAGAAAGCATGTATGAGTAAGAATTAAAGCATGCTGGTTAGATATCATGCGGGGTAGAAATATTTTTTTTTATTTTTAGTATTATTTTGATTATTATTTTAATGACTTGTTTTTCTTTCATCTTTTGTTTTCTTTTAACTTATCATTTGCATGATAAAAAAGAGGTGTTGAGCCAAAAAGAGTATTTGTTAAAGACATAAGCATAATGATGTTCAAGAATTGTGAGGCATCTAGGACAGCTGGAAAGGTGACCAGAAATAAAAATTCTATCACTGGTATAGTGATATCGCACTTTTACTCTATGTCAAGATAGACGAGCCCCTAATTCAAGCCCTAGTACAATTCTGGAATCCAGGGTACAATTGTTTCACGTTTAACCAATAAGACATGGTACCCACCATTGAAGAATATACTACTTTGTTGCATTATGAAGGAACCAGAATGGATCGGGTCTACACCAAGTTCATCAAGAATCAGCCTTTCAAGAATGGGTTAGTAAAGGTCGTAGGGGTAGATGAAAAGTGGGTAATTGATCGGACTCAGCACAAGGGTTAAGGAGAAGGAATTGCTTGAACCCACATCAAGCAATTAATGAAAAATCATCCTGATGAATGGAAGATGATTGATCTCTTCGCCTTGGGTATCTACGACTTAGTTATTTTCCCAAACACTTTGGGATATATCGAGGCAGTTGTGGTAGAGCTATTCGAACAACTTTCAAAGCGAGTGAACTCGGCACCTACAATATTAGCTGAAACATTCCGTTCACTCAATCATTATAGAAAGACTGGCGGAGAAAGATTTATAGGATGCATACAGTTTATTCAGGTATGGATCCATAGTTACTTCTGGAAGGCTGACGTTATCTTTTACCGTCGATTCAACACCACTTACTCTCTTTTGGGAGAGTTCCTCACACTAAAATGGTAGGAAGGCATCCCAAAAGAGGAATGGTTGGAAGTTTTCACGCATCTTCAGGATAAAGAAATTGTTTGGAGAGCTCATTGGTTGACCCATAGTGACATCCTTTATCGGTATGGAGACTAAAAAACCATAATGTTGCTTGGATTATGGGGAGGAGTTGGATATTCTCTACTTTTGGCACTTCGACTGTATGGGGCACGCCAGTTTATCCCAATTACACATGGGATATTTGGATCAGAATTCGCATACCATTAGGATAACTACAAGAAAAAGGGTTAAAGATGTAGCTGAGTCATGAAAGAAGATGTTCCTTATGGATGTCGTAGCTGCTAAAGACATGTTTACTCTAGATTATTTGGAGGGAATGAAGTGAGAAAGAATGACATTGTTCCTGTACCGGAGCATGAAGAAACTTGGACCATGGAAGAGCATTTTAAACTAGTTCCCTCCGAACTAGAGATATCGAAGAAAGAGTTCGAAGCTGAAAAAGAGGAATTGAAATAAAAGATAAGGGAACTCGAGGCTGAAAAATTCCAGTGGAAGTTAGATGCTGATACTCAGAAAGATCGGGCAGACAAATTAGAAAAAGAACAAAAGAAAGTCTGCTTTGAATTAGAAGATTTGAGAAAGCAGTATCAAGAACAAGTTCAGAACAATTCCAGCCTGAAGATGTCTTCTGAATATTGGAAAAGTGAAGTCAGTAACCTGAAAAGGAAATTCGAAGGAAAAAATGAAAAAAAGGTCCCTGAAAGAACAACTAAAGACTTCCCAAAGACATTTGTTAGATAACCAACACCAGAACAAGCGCATAAAGACCAAGGAAGCTGATCTAGACAAGTCCCTTTAAAGACAACAAGAACAAGATGAAAAAATCATAGCTAAGTTAGAGTCCATGGTAGATGGATTCAAGAAACAAGAGAGTGAGCTTCAGATAGTTCCCTTTGATGGAGGATTTCAATGGCATTTTCGTTGGGAACAGGCTCAACAAAGGGTGAAAGCCAGAGATGCAGTTATTCGAGACTTCTTGCAACAAGTACAAAAAGTAGCTCGTCACTTGTACAGTTTAGTGAGAGAAGCCGGAGTGGTTCGATAGGGTATTCAACTAGTGACAGATGAAGGCATAAGACTGGTCAACCTGTTAGAAGCCATTTGGGTTCTAGAGGACTTAGTCAGAATGTATCTTTAAGATATTTTTGTCTCTTAAGAAATAACACTTTTGTCCCAATAAAGATTATTTATAATAAAAGACGTATTTTTGGATCAATACCTCGAACATTTCATGCATCATGCGTTTATACATATTTGCATTTGTTTTTTTCTTCATTTCTTTATATTCACATTAACTAACAGAAAATGTCTCATCAAAAAAATGAACAAATACTGGACATACCACCTTAAGCATTGGACACACCTCATCCACATAACACCTGTTACAAAAAGAAGAAGATGGAAACAAAGATAGCCCAACTCGAGGAGAACATGTTAAGGTTGTAAAAGGAACTAGAAGGAGAAAATAAGTCAAAATAATCCAAACACTCTAGAGTCAATCATCAAAAGCCAAGAGTCTTTGGTTGACCAAATTGTTGCAAAATTATCTGGCCTGAATCAAGCAAGTACACCTGGGGCAGAGACATCTAAAGAGGTAACTATGTTGCGTACCCCGCAAGTGGTTATTCACTTGGAATCTTACCAGGACTTCAAGGGGACTCATTCACTGCAAAAGTAAAAGCCTCGTTTGCTATAAAAGTACAGACTCTGTATCCAAACCTGAGAATAATCCAGGTGATTACCATATACCAGATTTTGATGAAGAGGACAAGGCAAAGAAATTGAAAGAGAAAATCAAACAATTGGAAGACCAAATGAAGGTGATTAAAGGGGACCATGACTACTATTGAGTCGATGCCGCGAAACTAAGTTTAATCCCAAATTTGTTTCTTCATCCGAAATTCAAATCCCCGGAGTTCAAGAAGTTCGATGGGAACAACTGCCCGTTAGCCCACATTACCATGTTCTATTGAAAGATGACAAGATATATAAGAAACGACCAACTCTTGATTCATTGATTCCAGGAGAGTATGTCTGGTCATCTATCCGGTGGTACAACTAGCTAAACCAATCTCATATCAAGACATGGAAGGATTTAGCCAAGTCATTCTTGGAACATTATAAACATGTCATTGATATGAGACCAGATCGAGTTATGCTGCAAAGCATGGAGAAGTAGCATAATGAAAGTTTTAGACAATATGAATAGAGATGAAGGGATTTAGCTGTGCAAGTTCATCCACCTTTGGATGAGAAGGAAACCCGAAAGCGCTTCGTACAAACACTGAAGGCTCCTTATTTCGGGCACTTAGTTGAAATCACATATGGAAATTTTTTTGACTTGGTTATGGCCGGAGAGATGATAGAAATGGCCATACAGCAAGGTAAGATCGAGGGAGGGAAGGTTAGGAAAAAACCTTCTATGAAAAAGAGGGATGGAGAGGTCAACAACATCAACACCTATAACAACAAAGGTGTTACGATCTCCATCCTAAAATCAATTATTGATGTACCATCAAGTACTTCTAGACAAGATTCAAGGGAACCCAGGAAGGAAAGAGAAAGGGAACATTTCGATCCTATTTCCATGACTTATAAAGAATTTTATCAGCAACTCTTTGACACTCATGTAGTATCACTATACCCGGTGGAACCTATGAAGCCTCCATACCCCAGGTGGTATGATGAGAACGCACATTGTGAATATGATGGTGGTGTTCTAGGACACATTATCGAGAACTGCCTCGTATTCAAGAGGATTGTGCAGAGAATGCGAAATAGGAAATGGATCCACTTCAACAACTTAGGGGACCGAAAGTTGTACAAAACCTTTGCCTAACAACCAAGAAGACGGGGCCAATACATTTATTGAGGAAATAAACATAAGAGTCAAAACAAGTGTTGCTGAAGTAACATCTCCCCTAGCCTGGGTATGGAGACAAATGGTGAAAGCAGGGTTTCTTATACCCTATTCTGATACATCAGAACATGAAGGTGGTAACAACTACTGTTACCACAATAAAGAAGGGTAAGATGTGCAAGATTTCTTGGAGTTTAAATCTTTGGTCCAACTCATGATGGATAGGAAGGAGTTGGAATTCTACAAAAAAAAGTCAAAGACACTCCAAAAGTTGATGTTTGTGCGACTGAAGAGTCAGCCGATAGAGGATTCGACAAGAGTCGTCCGTTATTGATCACCCCTAAGGTGCAACCAATAAAAAAGGCACCGGTAAAGGTAGTGGTCATAATACCTAGACATTTTCCCTACAAGTACAACAAATAAGTGCCTTGGAAGTACGGATGCCAAATAAGCCCTTTGAAGGAAGATGACAACGAAGTGGGGTATACTGTGGGGAAATACTACTCCCAAGAGGCTAAATCAGCCCAGAGACCACTTGAACTATTCAAAGGGGATGTGCTGGTAGTAAATGAGCCAATAAAGGAAGGAAAAGCTATAGAGTTCTAGAAGTTTTTAAAACACAGCGAGTATAATATCGTGGAACAATTACATAGCATGCTAACACGTGTTTCAATGTTAGCACTACTGCTAAGTTCATAAGCACATAGAAAGACGCTTCTGAAGGTCTTAAATCAGACATTTGTGCCAGAAGAAATACCAGTCAGTAAGATGGATATGATGGAAGAGGTCGAGCTAAGGCATTACACATCACCACTCATTGCAAGGGGCACGCCTTACCTAGTGTGTTAATCGACAATGGTTCTACCCTTAATTTGATGTATTTGGTTACTTTGAAAAGGCTACTGGTGGATACTTCCCACATGAGAGCATGCCAGAATATGGTCCGAGCATTTGACGGGACCAAGAGGAAAATAATCGGGAAGATTGAGATACATTTAACTGTTGAATCTGTTACTTACAACATTGAATTCTTGATGATGGACATTATGCCTTCCTACAACTACGTTTTGGGAAGGCGTTGGATCCATCAGGCTGGAGTAGTGCCATCTACACTGCACCAAAAAGTCAAGTTTGTCATTGACAGGGTTATTGTAATAATTAACACTGAAGAAGATATATTGGCAAGTGTGACCACTGATGCCCCTTATATAGAAATGAATGATGAAGCGGTAGAGTGTTCGTTCTGCTCTCCAGAGTTTGTGAATGTCACATTTGTGGCTGAAGGAGGAAAGATTTCCAAACCTAGACTCTCAGAATGCACTAAAATGGAGATCAAGCAGACTTTGGGAAGAGGTGCCAAGGTAGAAAGAGGATTTGGGAGTATTTTGCAAGGAAGAATCGACCCCATTCTTCCTATAACAAATTTAGACAAGTTCGGGCTTGGTTTTCAGCCCAATCAATAATAGAAGAGGAATGAAATTCAGAAGTTTCGGGAAAGAAGGTTAGCAAGATTGATTGAGAATAAATTTTAATGGGAACCAATGGTTTTCCCACCTCTGTATGTCATATTTAAATCTGGTGGCTATGTGTTTGAGACCACCTTACCAGATTTGGAAGTTGCTTTGAAAGATTGGAATATCAATGCATAATCACAGGGAATACTGAAAATACAAATAGATCAGGAATCTGCCCTTTGCCACCTTGGTCAATGCTTAGTAACTGGACGGTTGAAGAACTACCTGTGGTTTTCAAATTTCTTTCAGAGTAATACTCAAACTATCCCTATTTGCCTATACTCGGGGCAATAGGTGATCTTTTCTAAGGATGAATAAATGGTTTTTTTCATTCAATAAAAGATGTAATTTCTTTCGTGACAAACATTTCTTCTTACTTCATTTCATTTCCTTTTGAATTTCATTTTCTTTCATTATGTGTGGGATATTTACCTCTCGCATATATACATTTATTTTCTCCTTCCTCTTTCAGGTCCCAAGATATTAATGATGCGGGCTTTGATGATCCTGACCCGGAGGTGGATTTTGAATAGCTCAATTGTCTTGGGGAAATTGATGAATGTGACAATGAAGAAGAGTGCAACTTACCTTCTGAACTATTAAGGATGGTAGAAAGAGAAGACAAACAAATATTGTCACATGAAGAGAAAACTGAAGTCTTGAATCTGGGTACAAAAGAGGAAATGAAGGAGGTTAAAATTGGCACAACTCTTCCGGTTGAAGAAAGATAAAGCTTGATAGATTTACTTCAAGAATACAATGATGTGTTTGCATGGTCGTATCAGGACATGCCTGGACTAGATACAGATAAGGTAGTCTACAAGTTACCTATCAAGCCATAATGTAAATTTGTACAACAAAAGTTAAGGAGAATGAGACCTGAAATGCTCCTTAAAATAAAAGAAGAAGTTAAGAATCAATTCGATGCCGACTTTCCTTAGGTGGCAAAGAATCTGGAGTGGGTGGCTAACATTGTTCCAGTTCCGAACAAGAATGGGAAAGTGCACATGTGTGTCGACTACCGAGACCTTAACAAAGCAAGTCCTAAAGATAACTTTCCTTTGCCGTACATAGACACTTTGGTGGATAATATAGTCGGGAACACTTTTTTCTCATTCATGGATGGGTTCTCAGGATATAACCAGATTAAAATGCATCCTGATGACATGGAAAAGACAAATTTGTCACAATGTGGGGAACCTTCTGCTACAAGGTGATGCCCATCAGATTAAAGAATGTTGAGGCAACATTCCAAAGAGAAATGGTAACTTTATTTCATGATATGATGCATAAGGAGATTGAAGTTTATGTTGACGAAATGATTTCCAAAGTACAAACTGAAGATGAGCATGTCCAGAATTTGAGAAAACTTTTCCAGAGATTGAGAAAGTTTCAGCTGAGATTGAATCCCGACAAGTGACATTTGGAGTAACATCTAAAAAATTGCTAGGTTTCGTGGTTAGCCAGAAAGACATCGAGATTGATCCAGATAAAGTTAAATCCATCCAGAATTTACCTCCCCCACAAACATAAAAAAAGTTTGAGGTTTTCTGGGCAGGTTGAATTACATAGCGCGGTTCATATCTCAGCCGACAAGTGCGACCCAATTTTCTGCCTTATTCGAAAGAATAACTCTAGAACATGGGATGAGAATTGTCAGACTGTATTCGACAAAATAAAAGAGTATTTATATCGCACTCATATCTTGATGTCCCCAATCCCAGACAAACCACTATTCTTGTATTAGTTTATATTTGAGAATTCAATGGGATGCGTCCTGGGCCAACATGATAAATCTGGGAGAAAAGAGAGAGCCATTTACTACTTGAGCAAGAAGTTCACTGATTGTGAAGTTAGATATCCTCCTCATTGAAAAAGTTTGATATGCTTTAGTCTGGGCAACATGTAGACTCAGATAATACATGTTGTACCATACAACTTGGTTGATTTCCAAGTTAGATCCGCTAAAGTATTTGATGGGTGTGCCTGCACTCCCGGGAAGGTTAGCCCGATGGCAGATGTTGTTATCTGAATTTGACATTGAGTACGTGAGCCAAAAATCTATAAAGGGAAGTGCCATATCTAATTTTTTGGCAACTAGAACTACTAAAAATTACGAGCCATTCACTAGCAGATTGAATTTTGATTGCACCAATAACTTAGAAGAGTATGAGGCATGTGTTTTGGGGATTTGAGCTGCTATTGGACAAATTATAAAGACCATGCGGGTATATAGAGATTCAACCTTAGTGATCTATCAGCTCCGAGGAGAATGGGAGACGAAAAATGTAAAGCTGATGGAATACCGAAAGCTCATATTGGATCTACTTGAAGAGTTTGATGAAGTCACGTTCCATTACGTGCCTATAGAAAAGAATCAAATGGTTGATACTTCAATATTGCCGGGGAGCCTAACATGATGCCAATTGACATGCATTCATATGAGTACCTAGCTCATTGTTACCAAATTGAGGTAGTAAAGGACACTAAGCCCTGGTACCATGACATTCTGCAATACATAAAAAATGGAAGTTATCCAAAGGAAGCCATCAAAACTGATAAAAGATTTATTAGAAGGATGATGGTCGGATATGTTCTTGATGGGAAAGTGCTATTCAAGAAAAGCCATGATCAAATCATATGAGATGTGTAGATGAAGAATAGGCAAATATGATATTAGAAGAGGTACATGATGGAGTTTGCGGAACGCATGCGAATAGACATATGATGTCGTGGCACATTATGAGACGCGGGTACTTCTGGGCCACAATAGAAAGCGACTACATCAATTATGCTAGAAGATGTCATAAGTTCCAAATATATGGGGATAAAATAAATGTTCCGCCCCAACCTCTTCACGTGATGATGGTACCATGGCCTTTTTTTATGTGGGGCATGGATGTTATCGGAAAAATTTATCCAAAGGCTTCAAATGGTCATCCATTCATTCTTGTGGAAATTGATTATTTTACCAAGTGGGTTTAGGCTACATCGTATGCTAGTGTTACTCAGTCCACTATTTGCAAGTTCTTGAGAAAATAGATCATATGTCAGTATAGTTTACCTAAAAGAATCATTACTGATAATGCAACGAACCTGAACAATAAGATGATTGATGCTGCTTGTGAACAGTTCAACATAAAGCATCACAACTCTACTGCTTACAGACCGAAGATGAATGGAGTGGTAGAAGCAGCAAACAAGAATATCAAGAAAATAGTGAAGAAAACAACTTAGACATACAAGGATTCGCACGAGAAATTGCCTTTCACTTTGTTTGCTTACCAAACTTCGATACGAACTTCGACCGGGGCAACCCCATTTTCATTGACATATAGGATGGATGCAGTATTGCCCGTTAAGGTAGAGATCCCGTCACTCCGGGTTTTGTCAGAAGTCAAATGAGATAATGCAGAATGGATGAAATATCGATATGATCAATTGAACTTAATAGAAGAAAAGATATTGAAAGCCATTCATCATGGTCAGGTCTACCAAAAATGAATGATTTGAGTATACAATAGGAAAATGTGCCCAAGAGCATTCCAAGAAGGATATCTTGTACTAAAAAAGGTATGGCCTATCCAAAAGGACTACAGAGGAAAATGGATGTCAAATTGGGAAGGTCCTTATGTCGTAAAGAATGCTTTCTCCAAAGGAGCACTGATCCCGACTGAAATGGACGGGCCAGAACTACCTAATCCCGTTAATTCTGATGCAGTTAAGAAATACTTTGCTTAGGGTGAAAACCTGAAAGGGGCCTTAAGTTGAATTTGAAAAAAAATGTTTAGAGTAAAAACCTGAAAGGGTGCTCTAAATGGAAAAATAAAAAAAGAACAAAAATAAGGTGGTTGCAAGATGAAAACCCACAAAGGGCTTCTTGAAACCAAGGACGGATCCAAGTTGAAAACCCAAAAGAGCGGCTTAAATTGTGACCCAAGATTCGCACAAGGGAAAAGTCTCGAATCAAGCCAGTAATGCTTTAGGCATCCGAAACCTCTATAAACTTAACAATTTGAAAGAACCTTCCACTCTCCCGAGTTTTGTCACATCCTCGAAATCCCTTTGACAAAAGCTGCATTCAAAAGTCATCTAACGATATGTCAGTTCAAAGATTTCCGCGCTATCAAGATCTAGGGCATCTATTTGTATTTCCTTTATGTATTAACTTTCATAATATTTGCCATGTATTCTTTAATCTTTTCCTCATAAATAAATATGATCATTTCTCTAAGAAGAAAATTTCATTTAAGCATCTTAAATTGAATTTAGAGAATAATTGATTCACTTTTTTAAAAGATAATTACGTATTACTGTATAAAGGTGTTTCGAAAGGTACAGGCGTTCGGAAGCCGATAAAGGTTTTGCACCATACTCAGGATAATGGGTTCTAGTTCATTGAAAGGCTTTGTTTAAATCAAGGCTAGAAATAAACCATCTTTCTCAACAAGAATGCATGACAGATTAAAGTCTGTTGAAAAATTCAAGATCAAGAATCAGGAATTCAATATTCCATAGTCAAGAGCCATCAATTGAGATTTCTCTAAATCCTAAAATAACATATTTCACATA